ATATTACAAAAGATATTGTCATATATCTCTGTAGTATAATTATCCAAATAAAGAAAACATTGACACATACTGTAAGGCCATAGACTTTATTCACATATTGTCATTTATCCCAGTAGTGTCTTTTATAGGAAAAGAAAACCTACCAGCTGTCCATAGTTGCATTTAGTTATGAAGTCTCTCTTTTTTAAAAAATTAATTTTATTGAGAAAGAAATAGAATAAGAAAGTTTCAAAGCAGGTTAGTAGGACAGTTACAATAATTAATACATTGCATATTGTTGTCTTCATAGTACAAGGTGCAGACATGGTATCTTGTCTAAACACTATTAGTACAAATCATTCTTCTCCCTGAACTAAGAGAAAGTAGCTGTAGTATCTAACCTAACTAATTTGTATATACAGATATATATTTTTTCACTACAAAATGGTCCTTCATTTATATCCCCCTTTTTGCCTTAGTTTTGTCAGAGATGGGTATTCCATTGCCATTCAAATTTTGTAAGTGCATAAATTCAGAAAAATAATCCAATATAATCCAGTTTACCATAATAGTCTCTTTAATCTGGAATAGTTCCTCAGATTTTCCTTGGCTTCACTGTCAATGACAGGGTCTCACTATATAGTTTGGGCTGGATGGCTTTGAACTCATTATTTGCCCAGGCTGGTCCCAAACTTCCTGGAATCCTCCTATCTCTCCCTTCCCAGCATTAGGATTATAGGCTTGTTCCACCACAGCTGGCTTCAGCACTTTTTTTTTCTGATCATAGCTTTATAGAGATATAATTCATACATCATCCAGTGTATCCAATTAGAATGTATAATTCCATAGTTTTTAGTACAGAGTTGTATGACCATTATTACAGAATACTATTAGAACATCTTTATCACACTATAAAGAAACAGTTGGGTTTCCTTAGCATTCTCTTAGCTTCTCTTCCATCTTTCCATCTATCTATAGCTTATCACTAATGTATGGTGACTATGTGTATTTTCTTATTGTGAATATTGCATATGAGTGAAATTAATATGACATTTTTGGATTTTTGATTTAGTATATTGGGCCAGGGAGATAGCTCAGTGGAATAAGCGCTTTCCTGGCAAGCACAAGGGCCTGAGTTCAATTCCCAGTTCTGCAAGAGAGGGAGAGAGGGAGAGAGGGAGAGAGGGAGGGAGGGAGGAGGGGAGAGAGAGAGAGAGAGAGAGAGAGAGAGAGAGAGAGAGAGAGAGAGAGAGAGAGAGAGAGAGAGAGAGAGAGAGAAAATGATTTAGTATATTGCAGCATGTATCTTCAAATTTTATTGTGTGGATGTGCCACATTTTATCAGTTGATAGATATGTGTGTTTCTACCTTTTGTCATTAGGAATAATGCTGTGAATAGTGTACAAGTTTTTGTGTGGACATAGATTTTCTTTCTCTTGAGTATGTATCTAGGGTTGGAATTGATGGATCATATAGTAACTGCATGTTTAAGGATTTGGGTTTAACTGTAGACCGTTTTTCAAACGGTCATTAGTAGTGGTTTAGTGTCCCAGTGTTTCCACATCTCCTCCAACATTTACTCTTTTTATTGTAGCCATTGTAGTGGTGTGGTGTTCCATCTGATTGTAGGTTTTTTTTTAAATTAACACTGCATAAAATTTACCTTTTTAATCATTTTTAATGGTACACTTCATTGGCACTATGTTCATATTATTTGCAACTCACTCCCACCATTATTTCCAGAATGTTTTTATTTTCCCAAATTTCTCTGTATCCAAGAAGCAGTAATTCTTCTCTCTCCACTGTGGTTTTGATTTGCATCTCTGGGTTAGTTAATGGTAGTGAACATCTTTTCATGTTTTATTGGCCATTTATATACCTTCCTTGGAGAAGTTATATCTTCAAATCTCTTGCTACTTTTGTTGGCTTTGTGGGAGTTCATCATATATTACAAACACGCAAGTCAAATGTGTGTGTGTGTGTGTGTGTGTGTGTGTGTGTGTATAATGTTTTGGAGAAGTGTTTTTCCAGTTTCTGTGTTGTACTTTTACTTTCTTAATGGTGTCTTTTCAAGTATGAAGAGCTTTAAATTTTGATGATGTCTGGTTTTTTTTTCATTGCTCATGTTTTAAAGTTGTAGTTTTTTATTTGACCCTCAACTTTGTAATAGACTGCTCCTGCCATGTTTTGTTCTTTTATCTGGGATTATGGCTTGTTGCTTAGCTCATATGCTGTAAGCCTAGGTGTTGTGCTCCATTTAAACTTTTATATCTCCCAAGTATATAGGAAATCTTTTTTGCTGTCTGACTCGGTCATTTAAGTGAGCTCATATTTTACTCTTTTCATTCTCTGTCCTCTGTCCCTAATTGATAGCTTGATTATTCATCTACACTTGCTGTATTCATGTCTCTCTTACCCTGGACAGTGTCCACATCTCCATGTGCTATCTCACCTGTGCTCTAGTCTCATCTTTCCTTATTTCTTAGCTCCAATGGTCATCATCATCTGTGCTTCTGCAGACACTTCTATGACCAGATCTTGGGTTTTGCTACCCTTCAAAAATAGTACATTTCAGTATTAGCACTCTTGTCATAGCCACCTGTCTTCTTTATTTTCTTGTCTTCTTTACTTTATTTCTCTCTCCATTCCCTATTCCCCAGCCTCTCCACTTCTCCTTTCTAACTGTACCACTTCTACAAGCTTTGTCCTACATTAAAGTACATAGTCAATCTTTTCCTGTTTGCTTGCAGTCATTGTTGTTCACCAGCCCTTTGGATCACTCTGGTAAACTTCAAGTGCCTAATAAATGATGAATGAATGAGTGATAGAATGAGAAAATCATGTATTGATCTGTTTGGCTCCATTATTACCACTGTTGGACCTGGAGAAAAATTCAGCTATATGTGGAGTCATAGTTAGAAATTCATGGGTTCTAACTTTATCTGTTTTTTCAGTACTTTCTAGCAATGTTTACATGTCTCTAGCCATCATTGTTATTCTCTGTAATGGTACTTCAGGGCATTTGTTTTGTTCTTATTTTATCATATGCTTTTTCACTTCTAGCAAATAAGTTTGCTTTTTATCTCATTGAGAAAAACTGAGACCAACAAATGGAATTTGTTTAACATATTCCCTGAAGTCTCTAAGAGTACTAGCATTCACCATCACACTTTTCTTACTCCCAATATCTCATTTCAGAGTCTTAGCACCCATCCCGTGCTGGGCTAGTATCTTCATCTGGTTTTTGAATTTCATCCCACCCTTCTCCTAAGGGACCTTGCTCCATCATTTAGTTCCTGTGTATGCAGCTCTTCTTTCTCTATTGCTTTTATCTTCTCAGCATGCAAACTGTAAGACCAAAAAGACAAATAAGAAGTAGGTAGATATAGGCTGGGAATTGTGGTGTAGGCCTATAATCCTAGCACTTGCAAGGCTAAGGCAGGACAGGAGTATTGCCATGAGTTTGAAGCTAGCCTGGGCTACACAGTGAATTCAAGGCCAGTCTGAACTATATAGTGAGACTTTATTTCAGGGGGAAAAAAAAATACAGTACACTAACTTCAACCATAATACATATATACTTAATTTTCTCTAGCTACTGGTTCTTTTTCCTTCACCTTTTTAAAAAGTGTAGTCTATATTCGCTGTTTCCATTTTCTTATGTATGATTTATTACCACCGAACATGCTTTCCCCCTAAGTGTTTTTAGTTTGTATGTTGCCTGTTACCTCTGTATCATCATGTGACATCGTTGGCCATTCCCTTTTCTTTCCTTTTGTCTGTGGCAGATTCTTGCAGTGGTCAGTTAGGGCAGAGTTCCAGTATACTCTTGTCTTTTTTTGTTTTCATGTAAGACACTGAGACCAAGAGAATATTTTTAAGTGATTTGGTGTTGTATTTGTAATACATTCTTTTTATAGGATTAAAAAAAAATCTCTATTGAGTTCATTTCAGCTTTGTAATAGAATGATAGTGTTTTTACAGTAATGGTTTGCATGAATGCATTTTAGTAAATCCATACAGTGAGAAACTGGGGAGGTTGTAAAATGGATGAAGTAGACCTATATGGATGGATAATGAACATGAACACAGAAATGAAAGTGTAGGTACACACACACATTAGACGTATAAATATAAATGTTTAACACCAGAAAATTTATCTGTTCATCATAATTAAGTGATTTTTATCTTTGGAATAGAAAAATAGAGGATGGAGGATATTTATTGTAGGTTACTTTAGTTTTTCTAGTGCATGGCTGTTTTTCCTGTAATAAAACAGTGATAATTTGGGGATTTTCAGAGGATTGGCTTTGACCTATTCTAACCTGACTTTATTGCATTTTTTTAAAATCATACATTAGTATTTTAATTTTAACTTTTTAACTCTACTTACGCTTACTCAATGTCTTCATAGAGCCCTGACTTCTTTTCACTCAAAGACATTTTTGCTTCCCTATGTCTGATTTTATTACTTTTCCTTTGTGTCCCCATGGCACCCTGGGCCATCATCCCTGGTCACTCATGGGGAGAACAGGAGCTTTAGCTAATACTGTGTTCTATGGGTCTAAGTATAGTACCCAGCAGTATAGAAATTCATTGAAAAGGTTTTAAAATTTAAAGTAATAATACATAAAATTTGACATAAATATCTTTAATACTAGCATATCTTTCTGTGTAGGTTAACAGTTTAGACCTTTTTTTGCTGGAAGCTCTGTGTGAAGAGACATGTTTTAATTAAACTTAAATTTAGATCTCAGGTTGTGAATTTATGTTGCACAACTATCCTAAAAGAACCCCAGGCAATTTATTTAAATGCATTATGCTATCTCCAATTATCCATGGAGGACATGAGGCTGATAATTTTGTATTTCATTGTTATCCAAAAGATTAAGATCTCAAATGGGTTAAGGAAAGATGCATTGATGTGCTTAGAAATGTATAACATTGACTCCAGTGGAAGCATAAACAGAATTTTCTGTCTTCCATATAAATTACTTATTTAACTTTATTTTCTTTTATAGGTTCAACAGATAGATCGTGTGGTAGAAGTTGTGGAAGAAACAATTAAAGGTGATTATTAAAAAGGAGGTAGACAAATATATATATTTTGTGAACTACTTTATAAACATACCACTCAGTTAACACATACTGGACATTTTTACAAAAGATCTTATAGTTAGAGAATTATAAAATTTTGGCCTTGGCTTCATATATTGACCAGAGAGCGTATATGTTTGGCTTATAAATGAATTAATGAGTCAGATCTTAGTTTTAAAAAATTTTATTTTATTTTTCTGTAAGATGGGTTTACTTTGAATCTCAGAACACATAACTTAATGAATTTTAAAATAAAATATTTTTGTATGTTTTTGAATCATGTAATATCATGTAATTAGGTGCAACTTTCCACTTGCCGTAGTGTCCTTGGCAGCAGCAGGTTCTGACTCCTGTTTGCCTCCTTCAGTCCTCTCCACTGTTGGCCATGAAAGCTGATCTGTGAGGAGTGCCTCAATAGGCTCCTGGCCAGCCCATGGAAGGTTGAAGCCTTGACAATAGAGCCAGCTGGAAGTTTTCATGCCTCTCTTCCTACTTGTGTTGGCATGACTACTTCTCTTATCTCAAGACCACAGCCTTTGTCAGGTTACCCTCCTGTTCATCCCTTCCTCTATGATTGTTCTTTCCTGTGCTTCTTCAGACCTGAGGTGGATGCAGCTCTTCATTGTTGCCAGTGGAGAGATTTCGCATTGTCTTTGTTCATTTTCTTAACTTGCTCAATGTTTACTAAATAGGTTCATTTATAAATACCTCTTCAGTTATACAGAGAAAGCATCTGCTGTGTTGGTACACTAACCCATGAGAGGTTAGCCTTGCAGAAGCCAAAGCTCTGCCCCGAGTGCCAGATGGAAAATGGCCTGGCCTGAGGATTTCAGTGTAACTGTCTTGTTTCATATTTGGGCCTTGTTGGACTCTACTTAATTTTTCCTTGGAAGTCATAGAGTATTCATTGCCTGTTTGCATTCTTAATGTTGCTTATGTTACTGCAAGCTTTTTTGAAACAATTTTATTTTTATTTTTGAAACAATTTTAATAAGATAAATCTATAACCAAAACATTGAAATCTGCTGTAATTAACACAAAACCAGACAAAGTGGTTTTTTAAAATTTCATTTCATTTTATTGTATTGTATTTTATTGTATTTTGACGGAACCAGGGATTGAACTCAAGCCCTTGCACTTGCCAGGGAAGCGCTTATTCCACTGAGCCATCTCCCTGGCCCTTTTTATTTTATTTTTAACTGCTTTGATTATATATAAATGGAAAATTACAAATTATTTGGAATAAATCCTCATTTTTCCATTTAAATTTTTTCTTTAGAAGATACCAAATTATAATGATTTGGTACAATGAATAATTATATTGTCTTCTCTGTCATTTTGATAATTCAACAAGATATGGAACTAAATAGAAGGAAATAACTTTAGAGTCTAAATAATTACATTCATTTCTTTTAAAAATATTGCCCCTTAAACTTGGCTTATGTGGTTGTTACAAGGTTTTTTTGTGTGTGAATGAGAGATCTGAAAGGAATATTAAATGTGTTTCTTTCATTATAAATGAATATAATGTTCTTTAAACCACAACAGCAACATTAAAAACATTCTCATGTTTATAAAATGATAGTCTAACATAAATGATTGCAAATAAATATTGTCTGTTAAAATTGGAAAAATATTTTTGTCATTAAATAATACATTTCCTTCCAGCTTTTATTGAAAGAGATCCTACTGTGAGTAATATGCTTGCTGGCATTTTATTCCATCTATTTTGAAATGCCTCGAGTGGTGGGAACATGGGAGTTTCCCAATATGGTATAATCTACAAATTTAATTGATTTTCTATTTCTGCTAACTTCTCAGCAATTGATGGCATCTTGGATGGGTTTGACCTACATTCACAGGATACTTCACCAAGCAGCTCTTTGTTATTTAAGATATTGCTGTTAACTTCACTGTCAGGTTTTGTACTTTATTTGTGGTCCATTGTTGCTGTTGATTGAGTAGCCACCTCACCAGATCAGGGCAGATTTCCTTCAGCATGTTTTTACAAATTTAATGAGTAAGTGATTTTATTTGGCTTCCTATAGAACAGTGTGGACCACAGAAACATACATTCTTTTTTAGTAGAATGATTGTTACTGGTTTTCAATATATGCTTTGAAAGAATGCTTTTATGCATCCTGTCATTATGTGTAACCTGTGATAATAGCTGCTACAGTTCCAATACAGTGGGTTAAAGGCTTTGTGTTGGCTTCACATATTTGAGTATTTTATAATCTCATTGATGGAAGTAAATAGTTGAGAAGTTTTGTCCTTTACTGACAGAATGAGCCAGAAATCTATTACTGTCAGTTATTTTTCTCAATGAACCAGTTTGTTTTAAGCTTATGTACCATGTTAAAATGTTATAGTTTGGTAACCATTGCATTTTGTCACTGTCAAGTGTAGTCCATTGCTCTCTTTTGCTCCTTTTTTTTCCTTTCTGGTCCCTCCTTTACTTCCCATAAACTTAAAAAAAAACTTATTTGTCTTCTATGTTCCCATGTATGTTATTCTTAGAATGAGCTTTTAATTATACTTACGTTAGGGAGCATTTTCTAATTCAAAATATTTAAAATACTAATAGTTGACAAATGTCTGTATGGTCCAAAAGGCAAAATTCTACCATAGGACTTAAACTTGACCTCTCCTATCACTATTCTATACCTTGATTTGAAAGAAAGGCTGGAAAGGACTCTATTAGAGAAAACTGCCTGTTGCATTTTTTATGCATTTCTGTGACTTTATAATTTTACCAGGCAAATTACCAGTTTTACTACATTCAGCCACACACATAATTAACAGTAGCTGTATTATTTATCAACTACAAAGTATGTAGTAGATTCTTTAGGAAAGAATATTATTTACTATAGGTGGTATGTTTAATTTCCCCTTAATGTGGCTAATTAAGTTTGACTAATGTTTTTAAGTCATTAAACCTTGAGAATGCAAATAAATGTGTAAACTTATTTCTTAGGACTATCCCTCTGTTTTTGTTGTGGCTTCAGAAGTGTTTTCTATGTTTTTGGCTTGTCTTAATTATACTGCTTCAATGTATTTGTAAAGAAAACTACTTTTGATATTCGTGAATTTATTTATAAGAAGATGTGGATATTTTTGATTTCTTCATTTAGGCATTTGAAATATAAATAGGTTAGGTTGATAATCTTATGTTTTTTTCCCATAATTTTATTGATAAACCAATAGCAATGAGATAGTTTTAAATCATATTGGTAGGACATTTTCAATAATTCACACATTGCATACATTCTTCCTAGTGGTTAATTGCTGCACAAGATGCGGACATGACATCCTATTTATAAAAACCATTAGAACAAATTGCTCTATTCATTAAGAGAATGTAACTATATATCTATCCTAACCACTTTGAATACACAGATACAAAATGGACATTGATCTGTATCCCCCTTTTTTGTTAAGTTCTGTTATTTGAATATTATAGGTGTGTAAACTCAGTAAAATATTGTAAAAGAGTCCTGTATCCCATAATAGTATTGGGTCTTTCACTTCACTGGCAATGTCAGAAATTATTGACCTGAGTGCTCTATAGCTCAACATAACAGCATGACTTTACTTTTTTTTTT